TAATTGTCTAAAAAAACCGTTCAAACCACTCAAATCTTGCTTCAAATTAGGTGAAAAATCTCGACTCGGGCGGTGTTACTGCGGCCAATCTATTTCTTATATTCGCTAGAAGTGACTATCGAACAAAAGGAAGAGCGTAGGGGGAGGGGGAGGAAGGAGAAGTAAAAACGAAACAATGTAGCTTGTAGAGGAAACCTAGAAACTAAAACCTAAACTGATGAACTCGAATGCTATGAAATAGTAGAGAAATATTGAAGACCGGGAATTTGTTCCACTCCCACGGAATTAAGCTGCAATCGATTGGTTTCGGAATACTTCCTGCATCGCAAGTCCGATAGGACTGCTGTAAAACTGTGTCTGCTTTTTAATGTGACCTGAACTTCGTGAGATTGATGACTCATTGCCATCTCTATCCGCTGTGTTGTCTGCTGTAGATTTCTGTGGGCTGCCCATTGTTTTGTTTGGGCTGGAGATCGGTGTTTACTTTGCAAGCTTCAGGTACTAGGTCTAGTACTAGGTCATCCTACGAAGAAATTGGCAACAGTCTGGCCGCGTGTGAAACAATTTCCGCACTTGGTTGAGTCGTTACTCTCATAGTATTCTTGGACCGGCTGTTGTGTAATTTGATTGAGATCGGAACTGATTTAAAACTGGTCAGTTGGTCGGTTGGTCGATTGGAGATGAACTTGCCACTGGTGAGTTGATGATCTCCTGGCACTCTAGGAAAATCTGGTTAGATCTATAATCGTGACCGCTGATTGGGGCATCTGGATTGGAGTGCTGACACTGGTTTTGTTGGGGGCAATCCTCCGAAGTTTTCCCTAGACTGGGACCACCGCGCTGATAGCTTTGACGACGCTGTTATTTGTCCAGGTTGAGCTTGTACTTTCGGAACTGTCGGTTCGTCCAAAGATGAAGACGTCGAGTTGCTCCTTTGTTTCTTTGCTCTTTTACACGGTTATTTTCTTGCTGGGTCCTTGACGGTTTTCAGACTTGGAAGTTGGTGAGCCCGTTGTGCATGGTCTGAATCTGTGAGTTCCCGGTGTTAGACTATTTCTAAGTGCAGGCGCTAGTAGCTGGTTTCTGTCTGTTAATATGCGAAGCGCCCGCCGGCCTTTTTCCTGTGAAAGCTTCTTTTTCCATACCATCCATTTATTTGCGGAATTAGCTACTCGTTTGAGGGATCTATAGTTTTTGTATCCGCGACTGATGCGCTATCGATTTTGAACATAGGTGTGGCTTATCTTGGCTTCGGCATCTTTACCTCACCAATTTGGTCTACTGTCGCATGTATCTATTCTGTCTTCTGCAGTTAGGAGGTCTCTTTCGAGATGTTGCTCCACTAAAAACAATTGGAACTTAAATTTATCGGTCGTTAACGATCTTTCAGTTATTGGTTTTCTGCAAAAATAGGGATAGTCCTGTAATTGAGTTTTTTTATTTGAATTTCTTCAATTATCATTTTTAAAGCCCATTGAATATCTGATGGATTATTTTTATAACTGTTAAGTCCACAATTTCTTTTTGATGGTCTGTATTATACGTTCTACCAATCCACACACTCGGCTATATTTGACTGAATATAAAGTGTGATGTATGCCTTTCAATTTCCAATTTTGAATTGGTCCCTTCTAATTGCGTTTGGAATAATGTGTAAAAGAGTCTAATTCTCCTAGATTTTAAAGTTTTTGTTGTCTCCAATTGATAAAGTGTAATTTATGCCTTTCAATTTCCAATTTTGAATTGGTCCCTTCTAATTGATTTTGGAATAATGTGTAAAAGAATCTAATTCTCCTAGATTTTAAAATTTTTGTTATCTTCAATTGATTTGGCAAGCATTGATGACAATTATTTGGAACAACTGTCGATAGCTGCCAATATGTACAGTTAATTTTTTGAAGCATCTGATAAAGGACCAGCGTACTTCTTGAAGCTCCCCATTAGGACCGTTTAAAAAGGGACCGAAAGAGATTTGTACATTTCGAAAGGACTCATCGGCTTTAAATTCTTACCGAATATGGTGCACTCTTTGCCGTTCTTGCATAGGTTTATGATGTCTATGTGAACTCTCGGCCAACACAAATGCTGGACTGTGCCCACCATGGCTTGCTGACCTGGATGGCAGCAATGTAAGCGGATCAACGCTGCCAGTTGAAGGCAACCCGGAATAGCAAAATTATCATCAATGATGATGCAGCCGTCAATAATGACGAGTCCTTCATAGTCCTTATTCTCTATTCCTGCCTTCATTAGTCTGGGCGTCGCATTTTCATCTGTTAGCCCATTGAGTATGTCTGCTTCTATTATACCTTCTAGACCTTCGTGTCCTCAGTAGAGATTCTTTGACCCAGAGAAACTCGGTTCAACTGTTCTGCAGTCCGCTTGGGTCTGGTCTTTGGCTCCTTTTAAAAAATCGCAATTTTGGTGGCGTACTTGGGTCGTCTTATTTCGCCTGCTTCAACTAACGACTTTCTTCTCGGTCTTATTGCTTTCTAACCTCGAATACGTCTGGGACGACCGGGTAACTTTCTGTGTATCGGCGCAAAATCATTCAGAAATCTTCGGAAACTTTCGTCTATTATTGATTCTTACGATACATTCGACAAATCTAAAATTGAACAAATTTTATAGATTGATGAGTCGCAATTGACAGAGTGATATTGACAAAATGAAAAATTTGTTTTGATATGTTACAGATAGATACAGGGATGAATGAATCATGTTACAGAATTTATAAGAAAACTCTGGTTTTCTGCCAGTAACTTGGATACGATTACTCGAACCTGATTGGTCCCCACTTGTGCATGAAATAATTGCGCCCTCTCGCGGAATGCTTTTATAAAAAAAATTCTGCTCGAAATTGATTGGTTCAGTTCTGTGCTTTAATTAGCGATGCTCTCTTGCGGTATGCATCGATAAACAGTACTCAATTTTGATTGGCTAAATCAGCCGCGGTATCTTGTTTATAGATGATGCCTCTGATGATTTTGAGCGTGTTGTCCATTGCTTTTCGAAATTCCTCAGGCATAACTCCTTCACTACTTATTTTGGATTAGTTCATATCAGTACTTCAGGGCCGACCAATAAAAATTCTTATAACCAGGATTGATCAATACGTCCAATTATACAACTCCCTTTATAATCAAAGATAGCCGGTTACTGTACAAGTAGCTCAGAATGTTCCCACCACAGTCTTAAAAAATACTTGTTTTTTTTTCAGAAAAAAAAATCTTTTTCAATTTATTGTCGTTTTTTCGGCGTGGTGGATTAGATACATAAGGTACAAAAATCTGGGTCAATAAATTAGTTATTTGCAACAGCCAGGCTAAAATAAGCAAGATGATAAACAGTTTTTATAAAAAAAAACTAGAAAACCGAAAAAACTTCAAAAAAAACTTCGAAAGAATTTTTAGGTTTGCTTGTAGTTTTTTAAAATTTCGAAACCTATGATTCCAAATACGCGTTAAAATACTCATTGTAAATTAACGTCACCCAAGGAAAACTAAGTTTTAACATTTTAATTTGAGCTATTAAAGCTTTTATAATAATACTGCTCGCTCGCTTTATTCGCTCGGAACAGGACGAAAAATAAAAAAAATTCAACCCATTTTTTCTCGACACTGAGAAAAAATTTTCAAAACTTTTTGAAATGCTTCAAATCACGACTGTAAGAGCTTTAATTTAATATACCACTCAACCCAATCAGATGATTTTTTGGTACCTGATTTTGTGTGGAAAACAAAACAAAAAAAACTAAAACAGACACGAATACAAAGTTCCTCCTAATTTTCAATAGTCGGAACAACAAAGATTGCCATGTACTGTGCAAGTAGCACCGGTCAATTTCAAAAAAAAAATTAGAATAAAATACTTTTTCTTTCCTTTTCCTAAACTGCCTGGGCTAACTAAAAAAGCTTGTCCTACAAAGCATGAAAAATTATATGAAATTATATATGAAAAATGCTTATCATACAATTTGATACAATTCCATGGATACAGAAAATGTTAAGAAAGCCCTAGGACGAGCTTTTTTTTCATTATTGGAAATGGTTGGTTAAACATTTTTTTTCATAAACCAAAAAGTTGATTTTTTGAAATTTTGTTTCTCAAAAAATTTGGGATGTGTTCGTGACCGAACACAAGTAACTAAAACCATGGTTTACTCAAAAGTAGAGTCAGCAAAGGGTTGATTGTCTGGCATTTACAATATAGTACATTGGAAACGACCTGAACTGTGTAAGAGTTGTCTTCACAAATCAAATACTGAAAGCATCAAACTCTTAAATGTTGGCAAAAATTTCAACGATGATTATGTTTAAAATTAGAACATTCAAATAATCAAGGCACATATAAACATGCCATACAAATGAAATAGGAGTCTTAAGCCTGTTTTAAAAAAAGTATCCAGAGAAACGGAAAAAATCTAATTTTTGTGTATCCAGGACTACGTTACGCAGACAAGAAATTATAATTTGCATGCAAAATTTTTTTTGGAAAATGTTTGTTTGAGTAGAAAACTCGATTTGCGGGTGACAAAAAAAAACAAAAAAAAATTGGGGCAATTTCAATATCACTTGGAAAAATTTTTGTTGTCGCCGTAAAAAAAACGCTAGTCTTATAATTTTCCTATATGGAAATTGTATGATAACCATTTTTTCCAAAAAAAAACAGTTTTTTTCATCACCAGACTGTTTCATTTGGTTCAAATAGCCGCAGAAAATAGTTCGAATCTTTTTTTTGAATGATTTTTTGAAATGGTATGAAAATTGCATGACTAGCAATTTTCCAAATGTTTGATGTACGGAATTGTATGATAAGCATTTTCGGCGTATGGAATTGTAAGATAAACATTTTCGGTTTATGGAGGTCAACCCGGGTGGTAACGTTTTTATTGCGGGGTATGATTCAAGAACTATACAAAGGCGTAGAAGTTATTACATTTTTTCCAGACAGCTAACTACCTTTTTTTATATTAAAAGATGTGTCTATAAGATGTAACTTTTATGAATTGTATTACAACAATCGAGTGTGCTCCCTTCTTGAACAACGCATTTGCAAATATTATTTGCTAAAAAGTGAGGTTCAGTTCGTCCATCAAGTGTGTGATGTCTTGATAGATTACATTGATGTAGCTCTCTGAAGGATAGTCAGCATCTTCGTTTGGCATCGCAAACACTATTATGTTGCTGCTTCTCATTCTGCATTTGCTACTGGTCTTCCGATGAGTATCAGGAGTGAATGCAAGTGACCCTTTCCTTAACAAGAGAGATGTTTCAGTGCTGGATTCACCCAGCTGCATGAAACTTACCGTAACGCTTTTGCTTCAAGATGTCTTCAGAAAAACAGACAATAAAAAAAATCAAGTTTCGAATTCTTAATATAACTTTGAAAAAATTTTGAAAAAGAAAATGCGGTTTAAAAAAATGTCAGCATTAAGAGATGTCGTATAGAAATCGTTAAGGCAAAAACTTTTCAATTTTCAAAGCACTTACGAAAAAAGCGTGCAGGTCTCGACTTCTGAAATCCATTAAGAGTATACATACTTGGTATGTGATCTCCTGGCAGGAACCTTCAGTCTCCCCATGTCACCATCAGCTGCATTGGAACTCCTGAGAGAACACGTTGCCTCCCCCACACTGTATATCTGTAGACCTCCTATCAGATTAGTCTCTCGGCTATTTTCTGAGTAGTTTCGAATCAATTTAACAATTTAGGCTTCTTAAATTAACTAAACACAATCATGCCTCCTGAATAGCAAATCAGGAGGTCGTAAAAACAGAGGGAATCTAACCACCAATTTTATACGTTTTCACGAGTGAACTTTGGGTAAAAAAAACTTTACAAAACTCGAGTCTACCAGAGTCAAAGGCATTTTTAAGCAATTAAAAACTTGTATGTGTAATTCGGAAAAAAATTGAAGTTTTTCATTTGGTTTAAAACAATTTATCGCTCTTATCATAATGTACAAATATCATGCCTTGAGCATGTACGATACTTTAAACCCATTTTTTCTACGATGACTAGACGCTAGTGATCTCGGAATTTTGCACGATAATTCATTCAATGCTTGCAGGTAAAAAAAATAAAACCTTGCAATTTTTTAAGGGAAAGGCGTACATTCAATTTCTAGTAATAATGCAAGAGTTGCGTTCCAAATTATGCTAGACTATTTTGAGGCTGCTTTTGTTAAATTGAGTTGTGCCTATTTTCTCCTCCAGCCGAGACTGTCTGGCCAAGTTGAAGTTCCTCTGGACTTGTCTGGCATGTGTCAGCTGCCACTGCAAGTCTTCCCTCTGCACCTCAACAATCACTGCCATCGTACTCCTGAACACGCATAAATACATAATGAACAAACTTCCTCCATATTTTATAAACATAGTGTAATTTGTCAAAAGAGTAATGCGGCCGCTCCTACAGTAGGACAGAACACCTATAGAAAAACAACTATATAATTTCTATACAAAAACTACAGACGAAAAAATAACAGACATCTTGACTGTTCCCGCCAACGGTACATAAGGACCAAGATCCTATATTGCAAAAGGGATAAGTTGTTGGAGAAAATTCCAAAAACTCGAATATATATTGTTTAGTTTGGCCTTTTTTGTTTTACAATTTTCCACAACTTTGACAGTGAGACCTGAAGAAACTGAAAAAATATATTGAGATCGAAAAAAAAATAGTTATCAAATTTTGATCATATTCATCAAAAATATGATCAAAATTTGATAACTATATTCATTCTTGACTTCCGGTACTTCAAATTTTTGTTACCCTTCTTTCATGCAGTTATTCGAATCGCAATAACGAACAAGCTTGCTTAGGGCATGTATTTCAATCGAGAATATTTGTAAAATTCTGTGGTTGTACAAATATCATTGTTTCCGTGTGAATCCAAAAATTTCTATAGTAAAGATCAGTTTCGAATTGGTTGGTTTTTCTTCAATACAAGAACCCACGGGCATAACAAAAATTGACACGAAATAGACTGCTAAATTACACTGAAGCAAAAACTTTAGCAATTCCCATTGTTCCCACGAACAATTTATGGAAATTTAAACTTTGTTTTCTAACTGAAAAATATTGTTAATTACATTTTTTTTGTAATAGTTTGGCAAATTGAAAACTGCTAAACTGGCGATTTTGAATAATTAACGATCAATATATAGCGCTCTTATCACAAAACACTGAATGGCGAAACAAATCATTCCAATTGGCATGAGGCGAACAATTTTGACATAATAGTACAAAACTAAACAATAAAAAGGCTGCTCATGTCAATTTTCTTTTTAAAACCATTGTTGAAAATTTTACAAAACAAGAATAAAACTTGAACATATACTCTTATAAAACCGTATAAGCATGCCAAATATGTTTAAGAATTTAAATACAACATTGATACAACTTTGACAAAAACATTTGAGGAAACTGAAATAAATAAAAATATCATAATGATAAAAAACAAAAAAATATATATTTTGATTATATAAAAAATGTGCTGTTAAAACTCGTTGAATTACGGTTATTTACCTTTTTATTTTTTTTTCAAGCAAATATTCAATTCATAATATTGAAAACGTTTTCTTATGGCACATGTTTCAACAAAATTTATTGTTTTATTGTTTTTTGCAATTGTATGAACATCAATGTGTTATGTGAGAATCCATTCTTTGGTGAACTTTAGCTTAAACTTCATTATTTTTTGTTGCAAAAGCCCATGTGTAAAAAAATTTGAAGCAAAATGTAATGTTTATTATTCCCACTTTCAAAAAATTGGCAATTTTTATCTTGGTTTTTTAAATGCAATCGTATTTCGTGTTCAAAACTAAACTTTTTTGAGAAAGTTTGTTTTATTCTTTCTGAAAAATATTGTTGTTTAATCAAAACTTTTTTATAAACTGTTTAGCAATGTGATAACTGCCAATTTGGCTGTTTTGAATAATTAACGAACGATATGTAGAACTTTCATCAGAAAACACGCAAGCGGGGAAATAAATCTTTTAATTTTGATATGCAATCAACTATTTAAACATAATAGTAAGAAACAAAACAACAACAAAGCTACTCCTGTCAGGACAAAGCTCTCCATTTTTTGATTACTTTTTAAGTCAAGGGTTAACTTTTCAATCTTAAAACAATATTGAAAGTTTCACAAAGAAAGAGAACAAAGGTTGATTTTGGGGAATTAAAAAACATCCCCAACACCTTTTTTGACTTATAAAACGTTAAACTTCGCTAAGTTAACTAACAATTAAGATAAACAGACTGCCTCAATTCAACTTGAATAACTTCTGAGCTTAATTTTTCACTGCCTGCGCATTATAGAACAAAAAACTTTGGGCGTTAAATAACCTGCATAGGTCAAACTAGCTACTTGCTTACCCAGATAACCTACCAAAAACGATTTTATGTGAAAATTTGTTTGTATATTCGACCTCAATAAATCAATATCTTTCAGATGCTGTGAAACAACTTTAAAAAATGGCCAGTTAAAACATCAAAACATATCTGTAATAAAAAAAAACCCAGAGCACAAACATTCTATCACTTTTTAACAGTCAGAGTCAAAGCGTTTAATTTTGTTTTTCTCATAGCGTGTTGGTGACAAAACAACGGAAATGTTTTTGGTTATTGTGACCCTAATTTTTTTAAATTGAGTTTATTCATTTATACATAGTTCAAAGCCGAGTCTGCTGTCTTTATCGAACAGCTTGTTAGAGAGAATTTTCTGTTATAAGTCTACTAATGAGATTTTTTATCATAAATTTTAACAAAAAGTATAAAAATTGGGTAAACTAATTTAGTTTTGGCTTCCAAGCCACCACAATCATTTTCTTATTTGATTTTTTTAAAAGAAAACAGCTGCTATTTAGCTCAATTTTAAAAAATTTTACTGCAATTATTGGAAACAATCTGTTGTTCAAAAATTAGAGAGCACCAAATAATGGTTGTTGGTCAAAAATTGACGTTTTTGGGCGTTCTGAGAACGTCATCTAGACGTGGGCTTTTTAGCTAATTTTTGATAAACTTTACTGCAATTTTGGGAAACTTCGGTTGGTCAAAAAAAAAGATTTGATTGGTCAAAACTGGACAGCACCAAGTAATGTACTTTGGTCAAAAATGGGTGTTTCTTGGCACTCTGAGAACGTCATGGACAGTTTCTGAGGACGTCATGTAAAATTCTTTTACAACGTTTCTGGGTTCACCCGAGAATTGCCAAAAAAATGGCCAACTCATCCATTGCAATTTCTAACTCGTCTGAGCTGATAGACCAAAAAAATTCAGTTTTTGGGTACTGGTCACCAGATGTGAGTTATGAATCACGCAAGCAAGGTAATCTTCTGCTGAAAAGCTTTGAAGTTTAAAAAGATCAAATTTTTTATGATAATTACGAAAGGATGAAAGGCTTGAATCACGGCCACTGCCTTACCGCATCTATGCAAAAAAAAACAGATTGGAAAGCATAAGCTGGAATTTTCCTGCATAGGTAACTGAAAGAAAACCGCTTTTTTCTTGCTAAGAGTTTGGCCAATTTTGTGGTCGGGATATTTAAAACCTTGTTCCCAATTTTCATTACTGTTCCCAATTTTCAGCGAGTTTTTGCGAAAATTTTTCAAAACAATTGATTGTTCTGTCTAGAAAATAACTAAATTTTGTCAGACACGCTAAAAATTGATCAAAAAACTAGTAAAGTGTACTCAATTAATAGTTTTATGGGAAAAAGGTCGAAAACAATAACAAAAACGCCATCACAGAGTGTCTTCATTGACTTCATAAAAGAGTTGAACGAGTTTCCAGGCAAATTGTATTTAACAAGGTGCTCAAATCATGGACTACGCCGATTAATGCAAAAATTACTTAAAGCATACTTAGGTGAAAGACAGCAGGCTGTGCTTTTCTGCAACGAGCAATCATTGGAAAAAATCCCACTCTCACGATTTACATAGGTCGGCTACTTGACAGTCTTCAGAATTTTTTTCCGGATAAACTTCGACACGAATTACTGTTGCTATAAAAATCTTTCAACATCCAAAAATCTAAAACTGATGTTTAAATTAATTAATTAAACTGATATTTCAATCAGTTAATTAAAAAATCAATTACTATTACTGACAAGCGCTCGTTTTTGGCCTGACAATTCCGTCCAAAAATTATTGAAGTTTTGCTTTTTTATATTTGCTTATTTGCTGATGCAATAAATGCGCTGCATAAATGTGTACTTGAAGTTATGCGAGAGAAGACGTTTTCTACTGTTTTCAAAATTAAAATTGTTCTTTTAAACCGAAAAACGCTACGCATTTGCACACATGATATAGGTCTAAAATACTTGCGTCAATTTGTGCCCAGTGATTTATGGAATTGAAACCTCTATAGTGATAATGCGAACTGCGTTAAAAAAATCAGAAACCAATTCTGGTTAGTAAGAAAAAACAAGCCTGAATTTTTTGTCTGCAGATAGATTTTTGACGGAAAAAGTCAATTACGAACTTATGTTCTTACAGCAATTGTTGTTGTCATTAAAGAAAGCAAACGTTTTTTATCATAGAAAAAGTTCTGGAAGCTGGAAAATTGAAGAAAAAAAAATGTTTCCGACTTATTATTCTTTAATTTTTTCGATCTATCTTGAATCTTAATTCTATGTCATTCACTTAAAACCCGTGAGGCAAATTGAAACAGGTGACAATCAGTAACATTTGGTTATTAACTTACCGTACAGATGCTAAAATTTGCATTTCCAGTAATTTTTTGGCGCAAAGATGACAAAATCTGATATTCGATTTGTTGTTGATTGTTTCCAATTTAACCTTTTGAAGTATGTTTGGCAAAAGTTCGGCTAGAATTGAAATAAAGTGATCGTGATTCAAATTGTCACAAAAATTTCTATTTGAGTTTGATAGTTTTTTCAAGCATAAGATACACGAAGATTGCTGTGTTTTCTTGTGACTCCAATTCAATTGGTTTTCACTTGCTTGCTCTGAAGAACTTAAAGATAAAGAATGTCCAAGACTGTGGTTTACTTTTTTCATTGTAAGCTGCTGCGTAAAACAGTAACAAAAAGTCAGCTCAATTTTTCTATTTCAATTTTTTGCTGTGATTTTTCTGCAGCAATTAAGTTTCCGGATTTTCTGAGCAAAATAAGGAACAAGTTAATGCAAGGGTAAGAAAGCAGAATAGTTTATTAATCATGATTAAACTGAATATAAAGCTATTGCAACGTAAAATGCCACTTCAATCTCAGTAAAAACGACAGCAAGGTATAGAAGAAATTATTCAAATTATGTCTCTGTGAAACAGATTTGCATAAATTATTACCTTGGAGATCTTTTTAAGTTTTATTCCAATTTCAAACAATTTGGGAAACGCTACCATTTTTCAGGAAATCATTTAGATGGAATCCATTTAAACTAGTTTCCAAAAACATCAGGAAGTTTTTGTAAACTGGTTTGAATATGGTATAAATTATTAATCCTGCGATAGAGAGGACTTAAAATGTATATATTAAAAGATGTTACTTAATACTCATACTCTCTCCTTACGATGTTTTCAAAGAAGCAGTTTTCCCTTTTTGTCGAGTATTATAAAAACCGGACCTAGCTGGACTTTGGAAAGATAAAATGAAAACCACCTTTTTAAGACCTGTCCTTTTACGACTAATTCGAGTAATTACACTAATGCGGGCGGACCACGCCCTAACATATGTGTTCACTTGATCACGCCACCGGTATATTAAGAGTACAATAAAAGACGCACCAAGTGAGGCTTAATTTAATTAAATTTCATTCCAGCATGTGGGGAAAAATTTAAGTAATGAAAGATACTGTGAGCAAGCAGTTCATAAACTGTTAGTAATAAATGAAATTGGTCAAAATTACGATTAACGCTTTTAATTTGGAATGATTGACTCCCTCAAGGTGGAAGGACCATACAATATAAAGCCAATCAGAATTGACATTTCTTAAAACGCAAACATCTGATTAAAAAAATCATAAAGTCAATTCAATATTGGCCGAATACCGAATCGGCATTCAATACTGTAATCGGGCTGATAAAAGAGGCACACACAACTGTTTATGAAAAATACCGGCACACGAAGCGCCGACGCACGCGTAAAGTACCTACTTCTAGGACATTGGGAGAGAATTTCTTTGCAGTCTGTCAATTTTGATTTCAGTTTTCTGAATAAAGCGTTCGGTGGCTAAGTATTTGTTTGTAGAGGTTTTCGACGACTCTGCTGATTGGTAAAAATTTTCTATCATTGGTTTTGCCATGATGAGGATAGCCACCATTTAGAATTACCAAAAAAAGTACGGCCAAATGAACTTGAACTCTAGTCAGATACAACAGTCAATTTTTCGTGCTGTTGTTCGTCATTTTCCCCGACGCTCGAAATATAGATAGAAAAGATTTTATTTAGGCCCAGGTCAGAGATAAATAAATAGATTTCAATCAAAAATTTTTATTCATCAATGGAATTGTTACCTACTTGCGTACAAATATTTAAAAAATTGTTTCTCTTGGAATCATTTTGGTAAAGTTTTGGGAATCAAAAATTGCTAATTTAGCAATGCTCTGGACTAATTTATAAGCTCGTTGAAAAATTTGTTTT